ACAATATTTGGCGTTTTCTCAATATTTAGATTTTTTTGCACCCTCAGATTCCAAATTTTCATATAGTTGTATCTCAGCCAAATATTGTCCTATCCTAACAAACCATACATCAATGGAAAGCTTGGAATTGACCCTTATGACTGGTTTTGTGCTCCAGGGTCACATATGTTTTGTGAATACAGGCCCAGATAAGGTTGTATTAGTGTTACTGGAAGAACATCTGCTGGTAACTCAGACAGACTGTTCCTGTGATGACTGACCGCTCTCTCCGGCTCGTGTCCTCAGCGCTGTGCGCCGCAGCAGGCCGAGGGAAGCTGGAGGTCTGTCAGATGCTGCTGGAGCAGGGCTCTTCCGTGGCTCAGCCCAACCGGAGAGGAGTGCTGCCGCTCTTCAGCTCTGTGCGGCAGGGCCACTGGCAGGTAACAGATACACACTCGTTCTCCAGCTTCGTCTCCAGAGAGCGTCTCTGCATGCTTCAGCTGTACGCACTCTTCCAGACTGTGGCTCTGTTGGTGTCGCACGGAGCAGACGTGAACCTGGCTGATAAACACGGCCGTACTGCGCTCATGATGGCAGCTTCAGAGGGACACCTGCACACGGTGGAGTTCCTCGAGGCTCAGGGTACATCACACACACCTTTACAATCAGTGCTGGGAATGTAACACGTTAGAGACTACAAGCTACCCTATTTAAAATGTAACTATTTCAAGTAATGTAACTGTTCTGATCAAGTAATGTTCTAAATTGTTAACAAATGATTTCAAATGTTAATCATTTGCAAACATGTAAAGCAGGCAGGGTTAACTTTACAGTGGAACTCAACAGAAAGATATGAAAGATTTTCATAAGTAACTAATTTAATTACAAATTTTTTTCTCAGTAACTGTAACTAATTACAGTTACATTTATTTTGTAATTAAATTATGTAATTCCGTTACATGTAACTAGTTACACCTCAACACTTTTATGGCACAGTTTAATGAGGCTTGCATGAAGTATACCTCATGTCTTTATTTGTACAGTCAAACCAAAACTTATTCAGACACCAGATATAATTTTTGATATTTTTTTATGTAAGCGAGGATAGCAAAATAAAGTGAACTGTGACATATTATACCCAAAAACTCTTCATACAGTGGACTGCCAGTAAAATTTGGGACTAAAAATTATTCAGACACTTTGACCTGATCATGTTTTTTTTCTGTAATTGCTAATGCGAGCTTTTTACACCACAGACTGAACAAAATGAAGCATTGCTTGGTAATTAGTTGAGCTAAATTGGTATTATCTTAAATTTAACAGCTGACAGCTATTCAACTGAATCCATTACATACCTTTCAATCAAAGTTATCTGACATTATCAAGATGAGTTTGTTCTGACACAGTTCTTGTCATATTGTATTAGCGTTTTCTAAACTATAGTGAATAACCTGTGATATAAGTGTTGAAGGTGTGTGAATAGCTCTGGTTTGACTGCAGGTGCGTCTGTGGATCTGATGGATAAGGAGGGTCTGACGGCGCTCAGCTGGGGGTGTTTGAAAGGACATCTGTCTGTGGTTCGCTGTTTGGTGGAAAGAGGAGCCGCGACGGACCACGCAGATAAAAACGGACGAACGCCTCTCGATCTGGCCGCCTTCTATGGAGACTCTGACGTGGTGAGCCTTATCTCACTTAGCTGGACAATTTTGGGTTAAAAATACTTGAGACCAATTTTCCTAAATACTCCTCCAAGAGCTTTCAAACTACATCCACCGAACTCCAAACACCTTCCGCTTATTTTCAGGACATCTGTACTATAAATAATTGGACTTTTGGTTTTCCCTTAAATTTACTTTGAGAAGTTCTGGCAGTAATTAAACTCCTCCAAACCTGCTGTTGTCCATTTTTTGCTGTTTTGACCTGTTATGCTACTGGGTTTACTGTAGCGCATTATCAAATATCCAAAGTCCATACATATAGTTAATAGTGTATGAATCAAAAAAGAAATCACGTGATGTAAGGCCTATTCAACCTTCAAACTTAAAGGCTTAAAAAAGTACACTTTTGACTATTTTGTTATTAAATATTCTTTTTTTATATTGAAAATCAAGCAGATTGTACAAACAAAAGCACATATGTGACCCTGCAGCACAAAAGCAGTGTTAAGTCGCTGGGGTATATTTGTAGCAATAGCCAACAATACATTGTATGGGTCAAAATTATACATTTCTCTTTTATGCCAAAAATCATTAGGATATTAAGTAAAGATCATGTTCCATGAAGATATTTTGTAAATTTCCTACCGTAATGCTAAGAACTTAATTTGGACAACTTTAAAGATGATTTTCTCAATATTTAGATTTTTTTGCACCCTCAGATTCCAGATTTTCAAATAGTTGTATCTCAGCCAAATATTGTCCTATCCTAACAAACCATAGATGATTTTCTCAATTATTTATTCAGCTTTCAGATGATGTATAAATCTCAATTTCATAAAATTGACCCTTATGGGGTTTTGTGCTCCAGGGGTATATATAGAAATACAGAAAAACATTATTTAGCAGTTGCATTGCTCTCAAGTTTTTACTTTTAGATATTTTTCCAAATACAGTTTAATTTGTTCAAATATAGGCATCACATCAGCTTCTGCAAAATTAACAACAATTCTTCAAATTTTTAAATTCTGTTTTTTTTTTTTTCTGTGAAAAGAATGCATATTATAGTATGTGTATATAGTTATTGAAGTTTTAAAATGCTGTCTACACAGGCAGCTCACTGACCAGCCAACTAAATATATTCTAAAACCTAACGTTTCTATTAAGTTAAAAACACATTATGTTCTCCAAACATCCAGTTTTTTAAATGTCTAAAAAAATATGATTTTCTTGGTTATGAGAACATTAAGGAAACATTCCATTTTATAATAAAAAAAAAAAACATTCATCGAAGGTCCGACTAAAACATTTCAGGAAAAAAACATTTCATGAGCTATAAATAAATAATGGTTTTGTGCTGAAGTTATGAAAACGTTATTAAAGACCAGTCCACTTTCTATTGATGTTAATGGAAGAACATCTGTTCGTGACTTTGAAGTTCACTTAACTTAAGTAAGTGTAGGACTATGCACAGTGTTTGTTTTTTCAAACCGAGAGACGAGTCTGGATAATTTTCTGTGCTAATGCACAGCAGTTTGTGCTTACACTTCAGTGTGTTTAATGCAATGTATCCTGCATTACTGAGCTCCTTCTTTCCTCTGCTCTTTCTCGGTCTCAGGTGCAGTTCCTGGTGGATCATGGGGCTTTGATTGAGCATGTGGACTACAGTGGGATGCGTCCTCTGGAGCGCGCCGTCGGCTGCAGAAACACGTCTGTGGTGCTCGCCCTGCTGAAGAAAGGAGCCAAAATCGGTATGACAATTTACATGTAACCAAATAATCCGACTGATGGCCTAATCAGATTGAAAAGCCACGTCAACCCCTCATTCGATCCTATTGAGCTTGATCTGAATTTAATTTCCATCTGTTGAAAGGGGTATTGTAGTCCTGTAGGGAGCCAGTTATGCTTGAACACTTGAATATGACTGGTTTTCCAAATTTGGATTAAAACATACAGCACATGCAGTGTTGTGATGCACATATGTGACCCTGGAGCACAAAACCAGTCATAAGGGTCAATTTTTGTGAAATTGAGATTTATACATCATCTGAAAGCTGAATAAATAAGCTTTCCATTGATGTATGGTTTGTTAGGATAGGACAATATTTGGCTGAGATACAACTATTTGAAAATCTGGAATCTGAGGGTGCAAAAAAATCTAAATATTGAGAAAATCATCTTTAAAGTTGTCCAAATTAAGTTCTTAGCAATGCATGTTACTAATCAAAAAGTAAGTTTTAATATATTTACGGTAGGAAATTTACAAAATATCTTCATGGAACATGATCTTTACTTAATATCCTAATGTTTTTGGCATAAAAGAAAAATGTATAATTTTGACCCATACAATGTATTGTTGGCTATTGCTACAAATATACCCCAGCGACTTAACACTGCTTTTGTGCTGCAGGGTCACATATTTACATATGTCTTGCAAAGTTTATTTTCATCTTTCTTCTTGAACTGGTCAATTGAGGAGAATAAATATTTGCTAAAAAACTCTTCTAACATATGTCAGCTTTTCAAATAAAGTATTAGCAGATATTAAACAGAAAGGGCCAGATTTTCTAACAGTCTTTTGGTGTTAAAATAGTACTGTCAGGATTTATTAAAGATGCGCAGTGAACTTATTGAATATGCATTTGTAGGAGTTTCCGTTTCAGACGCAAAATTTATGGGAGGAGAGTATTAACATGAATCACGCAATGCGATTTACTAACGTTTGCGCTCGTCGAATTACTGGTGTTTGCATCATTATTTAACGCCCCAAAAAAAAGCATGTCTTAAAGCATGTCGGTAATTTGCGCTGCTCTTTAGTAGATTGCGCTGGTCATTATGGAAATGATCTGCTGCATCTGTGTTCTTTAATGTGTGCATTGTCAGTAAATCACACCCAGAATTTCCCCTCCCATCGGCGCTTTTATGGAATTGTGCTCTAACGCTCATTTGCCCTGTTTAGTAAATCTGACATCAAAAGTGGACTTTCAAAATATGTGAAATATTCACGAATATGTGAAATCAGACTGGATTAATTCCGACTGAAAATCAGTGCATGTAAACTTACCCCAGCGTTAATGTGGCTCAGGCTTTGTCCAAACACTGTAAAAAATCAAAAGTTGAGAAAAAAGTTTTGAGTTTTCTCAAATTTTTGTTGTATAAACTGAAAACAAGAAGTTGAGAAAATCTCCTGAAGCTGGTCGCCTTAAACTTTAAAAGCATAGTAAAAGCAGAAATCACTGACGATCCCCAAAAGGAAAGCGGCTTAGGGGAGAGAAATGTACATTAGAAATGACTGGAAGTCCTCATGTATATGTATGTGTTTTCATGTAGCTCAGCTTGTGCTCGGCTGCTCCACATACTTCACTGACTCTTAGTTACGTGTCTCTAGATCCGTGACTCTTTTTGTTTGTGGTGTTTGCCTTTGGTTTCACTCGCTACCTGTTTCTCTTTCTCTTTGTGCAGATCGTAAGGGCCTAGATGATGTATGCTGCTGGAGAAGTTCACTAATATAACTTGGTGCCAGTCCATTTAAGCCCTTAAAAACAAATAATAGTAACTTGTACTGAATTCTAAATTTGACTGGAAGCCAATGAAGGGATGCTAATACTGGTGTTACACTTACACATTTCCTAGTCGCAGTTAAAAGCCTGGCAGCAGCATTTTGAACCAGATGCAGGCATGAAATTGATGCATGAGAAACGACATAGTACAATGCATTACAATAGTCCAGTCTGGACGTGATAAAAGCATGCATAACAACTTCCAAATCATTAAAAGACATAGAAAAGGTTTTAATTTCGCTATATTCCTTAATTGGAAAAAGCACCTCTTACCACATAATTGATATGCATCAGAAATGACTCCTTGCATGATTATTTACCTTAGATTTAAAGGCGCCTAATTGATTGATTATAGGTTCAGAAGAACTCGGAGGGCCAATCACTCGAATCACTTCAGTCTTAGATTCATTCAGGTGAAGAAAATTTGCTGCCATCCATTCCTTAATATCATTAAAACGTGCAAAGAGAGACTGTAAAGCCGAATTATCCCCCATTCTTATAGGCAGATAAAGCTGACTTTACTTTTACTTTCTTACTCTTCAGCCGAAGCTCTTATTTCCCACCACTCACGGCTGCTTTTTTTGTGTTCCCCCTCACCTCTCTTCCACTTCACTTCGTCTTTCTCCCGCTCTCGCTTTCACTCGCCTAAACACACACCACCTATGCTTGTGCCACTCGCTCCATCTCACTCTCCCGCAACCCCAATCCTCATTCCCTCGCTCTCACAAACCCTGACCTCTGACCTCAGGATGTCAGACGCTGCCGAGTCGGCGTAAAGTAGGTAATGCTTGTGCATCTCGCTTTCCTTCAGGCATCCCGACAGCTCTCTGTTCTGTGTGCAGGGCTGTGTTTGGGTGCCGCAGGTTTAACTGCCACTTTAAACTGTCCTGAAGTGTTAAAAGTGAAAGGTTACAGGGAATGAGAACTGAAGGCATCCTCATCCCATGCCTTCATCTGTGTGTTATGAGTCCTGAGCAGTGTTGGGGAAAGTTACTTTTAAAAATAATGCGTTACAATGTTGTGTTTCTCCCTAAAAAAAGTAACTAATTACATTACTTAGTTACTTTTTATGGAAAGTGATGTGTTGCTTTATTTTTGAGTTACTTTTTAAATCTGGGCAGGGCTTGCTTATTTGTTTTTAATATAAAAAAGTTATTCTTTTACAAATGTAAAAGCCCTTTCACAACAAAAGTGGAATGAAAGAGCCTCAGGCTGAAGGAAATGTAAATTCACGTCTGTACAGTAGAGGGCGCCGCTCAAACTAATCACATGAAGAATATGACGCAGGAGAAGAAAGTTCAACACTATTCAGCAATAACAAAAATGAAACACAAATGTGTCATTTTTGCTTATTAGTATGGTTGAATTGGATCATCGAAGGTCAGTAGCAAAGATGACTGGTTAATAAAATGGGATTAAATGCATAAATGATATTTGTCTTATTTAACATATTTAATTATTGCAGGTTTGTATAATATTCTGAGTTTGCATTTAACTGTTTTTATTGATTGTGAGGAACACTGAATGTGTTTGTGTGCAGTGAGATGAGTAAACACATGTTGATATTTAGTCTAGAACTACAGTAAGATCATGTTCACACACAACGCTCTGCACTTACTCCTGATTTCTGTCACCATGGCAACACCAGAGCTGTCACTCAATACATGGAAACAAAGTAACTCAGATGTTTCCTTCTAAATTAAAAAGTAATGCGTTACTTTACTAGTTACTTTAAAAAAGTAATCTGATTATGTAACTCGAGTTACTTGTAATGCGTTACCCACAACACTGCTCCTGAGTGATCTCTGCACTCCTCCGTCTCTCCCCATGTTTTCCCCTCAAACCAGTTGTTTATTTTGACCCATCAAACATCCTGTTACCCATAGGTCCTGCTACCTGGGCCATGGCGACATCGAAACCTGACATCATGATTATCCTACTGAGTAAACTTTTAGAGGAAGGAGATGGCTTCTACAAGGTCAGATTTACTCGATGTTTGCACAGATTTGTCTAGTACAAAGTCCCTGGCTCTGTGTATTTACACAGTCAATCATCTTTTCACATGCAGAAGGGTAAAGTGAAGGAGGCAGCTCAGCGCTACCAGTATGCTCTGAAGAAATTTCCCCGAGAAGGATTAAGTGAGGACCTGAAGACCTTTAAGGAGCTCAAAGTGTCTTTGTTTCTGAACTTGTCTCGCTGTCGGAGGAAAATGAATGTGAGAACAGCATGAGCGTTTCTAAAAATACTCTCATTCTAGCGCACAGTAAGATTCTGCATATAAAGCTTGTGTGATGCTGTAATATTGAAACTGCAGTATGTGGCATGTCGTGAGAACCTTGCTGATGTACTTCTAGTACAACTGTGCAAAATAATGAAATGTCAACCCCCAGATTTCATGCAACCCTTTTTGGTTGCAGGACTTTGGTATGGCGGAAGAGTTTGCTACCAAGGCTCTGGAACTGATGCATAAGTCTTACGAGGCATTCTATGCTAGAGCCCGTGCCAAGCGTAGCAGCAGGTAGGGTTCTTCCATTGTTTATTTCCTTGAGCCCTGTTCACACCTCCAGCTACACACAGAGACAAAGCGATATGATCCCATTCATTTTCAATGGAGAGCTGGCGACTTCCGGCGACACGACCTCATATTGACCTTTGGCGACTGAATATAGGCATGTCAAGCGACAAAAGTTAAGAATAGTTTAACTTCATGCAAATGAACAGTGAATTTCGTTAGAGACAACCAATAGGAGTGAAGAATCTGTCAGTGGCGCTCACACGTCACCGTCTCGAGTGCAGGTTCCAGAGCGATTTCCCCGTTTTATATGATTTGACTGTAAAAACAGACATGGATTTAAAAAATGATGCGTGGAAAAGAAACTGTTGGCAGCCTTAGTGAGTTCGATTCATACATTGATGGTTCGAGTTGTTAATTATATGATGCAGTGAGCAGTTTAGAAATGGTTAATGATTTAATGCACCAAGCTCTGCTGTAGTTTATGTAACAAAACTCTCCAACAGAATCTAATTCCTAGTCAAATTAGAATAGGGCTGCACAATTTGGGGAAAAAATCTAATTGAGATTTTTCTGGTTAAAATTACTATTTGTGATTTAAACTGCAATTTTTAAAACAAATGAACAACAACAGCAAAAATAAATATAATAATTAGATTTAAAAAATAATGATAAGATAAGAGCAATAATAATTTTATTTTACAGAAAACTATTTTACAAACAACTGCAGGGTTACTTGTTAACATGCAAAATCTTTGACAGTAATTTCTTAATTTTCCATGTCTTTAATAAGAAATATGAGCCTTTTATGCATCCACAGTGGGGGAAAAAACATCTCATGTACCGTTCTATACACTGAAGAAAAACATGGATTATTATATATTTACTTCAAATTTCTTTAGAGAGAAGTATTATTTTTCCTGTTTATGCCCATCATAGGACTGAGCGCTCATTACTGAGCCCTAAACACATACGTATGTGTTTAATTCACATACACCAGAGGGCGCCCTCGCGCAAAAACTCCACGTATGCATCACAGATATAATAGAGCTCATGATGTTCCAGGAAATCCCTAATATGGACAAAGGTATCTAGCTATCGCTGTGATTGAATAAAAAGGAAATATAAATGTTTGAACTGATCTTAGGTATTTCTATAATAAAAAAGTAAATTTATAATCCAGTGCTAATCGACATAACCTTTATTACAGTATAGAATATATTCTCTGCCTCATTCTGTGATAAGAAGCCAAACCAGGTCAGATAATGAAGTTATTTCAAACACTCGTTATTAAATGTTCTCTTTTGTTGTATAACAGGTTAAAAAAAATAAATCCCTTCTCATTAAGTTTAGGAAGATGTTTGGCGTATGTTGCTTTTTCAGATGCACGTTAAAAGTGACTCAAACTCACAGTACTTGCAGAGATTGAGCAGCATGTACTACTGATGCTGTGCATATATTTATTTAATTAAAAATTGCCGCCTTTGCGATTCAATAATTGCATTAAGCCAAATCGCGATTTCGGTTCGATTTCGATTAATCATTCAGCCCTAAATTAGAATGATGTCTTAGTTTTACCAGCAATATATAAAGTTGTGACAGCATTTTCTAAAGACATGTCCAGACGTGCAGTCTACCAATGACATTAGAACGACAGCACTAGGAACGCCCACAAGCGTCTTCACAGTACAGAGCCTAGCGACAAAGTCGCTGGCAGTGTGAACAGGGCTTCACACATCAAGTTACTTATTGGTGACATAATATTTCCATTGCCGCTTTATAGGCAATTCGCAGAAGCACTAGAAGACCTGAGGGAAGCCATAAAGCTGTGTCCCAACAATCGTGAAATCCACCGCCTTTTTCAGCGCGTGGACGAGGAGTACAGGCAAGCTACCCAATCAGAGGAGCCAGAGCTTGAGCCTCCTCCATCCCCACCACCATCTCCCTCACCGGTGGAGGAAGATGAGGAGCCCCCTCATCATACCCCTCCTCCTGAGCCAAGACTGGATGACATGGAGCCCGTCCAAGACTTGTTTGAGGATGACGACTTCCTGGAACAAGAGCTAGAGGCCGTGTCCATTGGTTTTGCTTCTGACATTCGCTCGAACGCTTCGAGCCTTGCCATTATATGCAGTCCACCCCTTTCTCCACCCCATCATGACACTGGCTACCTATCTGGAGGGCATGCCTTCGAGTTCCACCCAAGCTCCTCCTCCATGTCATCTCCTACTCATCATAGTTACCAGTCCACCTCTCCATGTATCTCTCCAACACATCAGAACTCCCACTACCGTCAGAGTCCACCGCACACCTCTCCAGCCCATCAGTCCTCCTACCACTTCAGCCCTCCACCCATTGGCAGTGGAGGGAACCAGGGGATGGACTACCAGAGTCCTCCGCCATCTCCTCTTAGGCGTGGGGTTCCGTTCAGAGGTAGCCCTCCGATGGAGAGCGTGTGTCTGTATCGTTCCCAGTCTGGCTCAACAGTCCGCTACCAGCAGGATCCTCTACCTAGCCGCCCTAAATCGCCACTGTTGAAGATGGGCAGCCAGCGGTCCTTCCAACTCCAGTCGCAACCTTCCCAGAGCTCTCAGACCAGCCAGCACCACCAGGTTCAGGGTCTGCGCCTGCAGCCCTCAATGGCACAAATCGTACGCACTAACCAGCCCAGTAACAGCATGTACAGCCAGTTGGCGCATCCGCTTAGCAGTAGGTACCAAGGTAGCTCCATGGATGTGGACAGGGACAGAGATCGAGAGCCGAGGCTGGTGTACCAACCCTCGCTGGATGGCCGGTCAATGTCTCAAGTGCAATCCAGCCTCAGTGTGGGCGCTCTCTGTCAGCATGGGGGCCGAGGTGGGCCTGCTGGGGTTCTGGAGTCAAACTTGGGGAAAGATGAGATCCCTCAGCGACCCGCTTCGGCGTACCGCTCAGCTACAGGGGGACCCGGAGGCATGCGCTTCAGCCAAACACCCCAGATAAGCCGCAGTCAGTCAGCGGCATACTATCCAGTCTCCAAGCATGAACTCGAGAGAGCGGTGGCGGCTTCTGCTCTGCCACCGTGCCAGCTGGGCTCTCCGGAGATCCCGCACCTAGTGCGCAGACCTATCAGTGCCAACACAAGTGACCTAAAACAGCATGTACCAACCCCTAGACCGCTTATCCACTCCCAGAGCGTAAATCTTCGCTTCTCCCCATCTAGCGGTAATATCTCCTCAGGCTCCAGCTGTAATCTAGCCCCTGGCTTCAGGCCGTCCTCCTCCATGGCTCAAATGGAAATCCCGCTGCAGGCTGCATATGAACGGAGCTTTGATGAGCCATCTGCCCTGTCGCCCTCTCAGAGCGGACTGTACTCGGGCGAACCCGCCCGATCCCGGACCACTCCGTTCATGGGCGTCATTGACAAGACCGCAAGGACTCAGCAGCAGTACCTCCACCAGACTTCCCGGGCCTGGCCCATGTCATCTCTGGAATCACTTATCACTAGCCCCACGTCGCCTGGGAATCTGATCCACCAGGCATCCACAGCCTCCTCCTACAGCCCGCCTACATCTCTAGGCAATATTGCCTACTACAATAAGACCAATAATGCCCAGAATGGACACATGCTAGAGGAGGAGTACTACATCCAGCCCCAGCCCTCCTCCCTGGGCAAGCTTGCCAATGGAGCGGCCCGTGATCGAGACCACTTGGAGCGAGTGAGCCAGGCGCCGACGTACCAGGATGTTAAGGTGGCACGGACAATGCCCGTGGCACAGGCATACCAGGAGAACATGTACCGTCAGCTTTCCCGCGATGCCAGACAATGTCCCACCTCGCCCATCAAACCAAAGAGACCGTTTGTGGAGTCAAATGTTTAATAGGCGCCCAAAAGGGTGGGCATAAGGTGTGAGTGACAGTGAATGTGTAGGTGGAGGTTATTAAAGCCAGTATTTTGAATAGAGGAAACGGCATAGTAGAAACACTTTTAATAAACTAAAAAAACAGTGTTACAGAAGTTGTGTACAATTACCTGTGCCTACTTTAAGTCAACTCAATCTGTTGGTAAAAACTTGAGTGCCAGACACGCTACAAATACCCTGGCAGCACCCTTTTGGAGCATTGGAGTAAAAAAAATGTTCTTTAAAGCTCTGCACATTATTAGAAAGCACATTTATTGACGTTCCACAACAGAGGCCGACACACAGAGGAATAGTGTGTCTTGCCATCGTTCCCAGCACTAAAGCGGAAACGCAACTGGCAATCTGTGTTGAACTCATTCCCTCTCTCACTTAATCCTTCTCTCTCTCTTCCCAATGAAACTAAACTTTCTGGACATCATATTGTTGAATTGTTCAGTACTGTAAAAAGTGCAAATCTGTTTCAGAAAAATTAAGTTGTAGTTATAGATATATTTATAATTAAGTTATATGATAACTTATATTTTGTTTTCTCTTTAATTTTGTATCTATTGATTTGGACTTTTGGAAATGGTATCAGATATTTTCAAAATAATGATTCAGAGTTTATTGACTGGAGATTATTATCTTTACAGTTATTACCTTACAGTTCTGGCTCCCGAGCAGAAATATTGCTTGTGTCAAAATTCACAGATGTAGAGTGGCAATAATATTAGTTCAAAGTACTTTCGTGGGAATAAGCTTAATGTGATTTTCAAGTAACCCTCACATTTTGTGGATATAGCTAAGTCTTTATTTACAAAATGAAAAAAATATTTACAAAGTACTGGAGTGCCAATCCAGACGTATTTAAAGTGGAGGAATGTATCACACCATAGACGTCTTATGAACTCTACAGTATACAACGCAACAAAGTTTCAGGGGTGTTTGCAAGGTAGTAATATAACTTTTTTTCTGTTTCTTTATTGTTCTAAGAAATGGAATCTTGCATTGTCACAAAGAAGCATTAGTATATGAAGTGAAGTATGTTTGTTTGAACTTTTATTCGCAACTTTGGTCTGTCTGTGACATTATGACGAAAGAGAGCACTTTATTCATTTGTAAGGATTATATGGATTGTGAATATTATATGTGTTTTTTTGTTTTGCTTTGTTTTTGGATCTGGGATGGGAAATCAAACGTTACTAACGGATGTTCAGTGGACGCTGGAAAATAACCTGTGATTAGTTGTACTACTAGAAATCAAATAGCAGTTATTGTCCTTGGTGCAATTCTAATTTTTCAAGCAAATGAATGAACAATAATATAAAAGAGCAAAATTATGTTTTTAAAAAGTGTATATAACAGCCTTTATAGAGCGCAGTGTACTTGCTGTATATAGTGGCCAGATGTGTTCATGCATACACAATCCTGCTCTCCTCTGCAAACGCGTCACCAAATGCAGCGTGAGAAAGACTTGATGAAGCTCACGCGTCTAACACAGTTCAGTGGCATCACACATACCAAAAAGCAAACCAGCCGTTTTGAAATCGTGCATTTGTCGTGTAAAAATACAATATTGAGCTAGTTCCTTTTGAGGTTCTCTGCTTCAGAATGCGATATTATTAACATGCGGAGCTTAAATGTGGCTTTGGTCAGATCTTCTCAACAAATAGAGTATATGGACAGATATCTAGACAGCTTGTCTTAAAGGCAACCATACTCACCTTCCTATTGCTGTAATTGTGAAAGCTTGAATCGAGAAATGCCTCATGGTCAACTTTGGGGAAAAGCTAAATAAATAACACTTGGGAACACAGGTGACTCTGATGTGTGGTTTTTATGTGCAAGAACATAACCTGACGCATGATTTATCCCTCTGAAATCAACATACACAGACGATTCGTGAATCTGCCGTATGTCTAGGAACTAAACCGAAATAAAGTTCACACCTGACGAAAAAATAAATCTCCACCAAACTCAACAGGAGAGATGTGACATTTACCTCTGAAGGGGTTGGCCATTCTTTTTATCTTTCAGTTGGATTTGAGTTGATTTTCATGCACTTGCTTGCTAAGCAGCGTTTCTCGTCTGTAAATGTGAGCTTTCAGAGCGCTGTGACAACGTTTAATGACTTCAATAAACCAGAATGTGTTTTTATCATGTCAGTTGTCATTTTTATATGCTTTAAGAAATGTATAACTGATCGAGCTCCTAAAATTCCTTTTATTGTGGTTTACTTTATACACAGATGTTACAGAAGTGCTAATAATCAAATCATTTAATCAATCAAAACAAGTATCTCACCCTCAGTTCATCCAGATGTAGATGAGTTTGTTACATCAGACTTGTTCGCACTTTCACCAATGGATCCTCTGAAGCGAATGGGTGCCGTCAGAACATCACAGTAACCCACAGCACTCCAGTCCATCATTTAATGTCTTGAGAAGTGAAAAGGTTGTGGATTATTGTGATGTTTTTATCAGCTGTTTGGACTCTCATTCTGACGGCACCCATTCAGAGCATCCATTGCTGAGACACTGATGCAATGCTGCATTTCTACAAACCTGATGAAGAAACAAACTTGGGTGATCTGTGGGTGAGTAAATGTTCAGCAAATGTTCATTTTTGGGTGAACTATTCCTTTAAACAGACACGTGATACCTCAAATCATGCTGGTTGTTGAGAAAATTACATTTCTAACTAATCAAACTTAGAATTTTCCCCTGGAAAATGATATAAATCCTCCAGCCATATCTATGGACTTGGACCTTTTTTGATTTGTGGTGGTTAGCAACCGCTTTAGACACCTTAGGATCATAATTGGCAAATATTGGAAAATGAACGTATTTGTGGTGTTCACAGAAAATGTAAAAATCTAGTTTTTCCCCACTTCGCTAAGACAGAATATAGATTTTTGCTTATAAGCAAGTTTATTACAAGCATATATATACACTGCTGTTCAAAAGTTTGGGATCAGTAAGACTTAAGACTAAGTCTCTTCTGCTCATCAAGGCTGCATTTATTTGATCAAAAATACAGAAAAAAACAGTAATCTTGCAAAATGTTATTACAATATAAAATAGTGGTTTCTATTTTAATGTCCTTTAAAATATAATGTATTTCTGTGATGCGCAGCTGAATTTCCAGCATCATTACTCCAGTATAAAGTGTCACATGATCTTCAGAAATCATTCTAATATAGCATATAATATGCTGATTTATTATTAGATTATCAACAGTTGTGCTGACAAATATTTTTTTTGGAAGCTGTGATACTTTTTTCAGGATTCTTTGATGAATAAAAAGTTAAAAAGAACAGCATTTATTCAAAATATAAATCTTTTCTAACAATATAAATCTTTGCTATTACTTCTTGTCAATTTAACACATCCTTGCTGAATAAAAGTTTTAATTTCTTTCAAAACAAGAAAGAATAAAAATGTACTATCCCCAAACTTTTGAACGGTAGTGTATATTGTTAGAAATGCACTGAATTTATTTAATACACGAGTTTCACAATTTGAGTTGAATTACTGAAATAAATGAACTTTTCCACGACATTCTAATATATTGAGATGCACCTGTATTTTTGATCAAATAAATGCAGCCTTGATGAGCAGAAGAGACTCCTGTAAAAACATTAAAATCGTTCTCATCCCAAACTTTTGTCTGGTTGTGTATATATATATATATATAGGTTTCTAAACAAGATGAGACAATTCAATAACTTGAAAGATAAAAAGCAAAACATAAATACAGTGAACAACTGAAGTTATACAGCCTTTTGTTCTACAATAAACCTTTTTAAAAAGAATCATCAAAGACAAGATAACAACAAGAAACATTTTCACTAAAGACTTTCTTTGGCACGAACTAACTGTTTATGCAATGCAGCAATCCTTTTCCGTTTGACTCCAACAACATTCATTAAAGCTGCAAGCATCTGCACATATGATTGATCTTCAAGCTGATGGCTCTGTTGTCTCAAGAACTTTTACTCCGGCTTGGGTTTGGCTGTGAGGAGATGCACAAATCCTGGAGCTGTATTGGAGAAAGAACAGCGAACAGAAGAGAAGAGGAGCAGCTGTCCCTGAGTCCCAGCCCCAGCAGGCCCCCGCTGTCACGGCTCTCAGGACACCACTGTAAGACTCTATACACAATCCTGAGTAGATTACTTACAGCTGATCACAAATTACAAGACAAAAACTGTAGTTAGTAATGTAATCTATTGGATTACACATTTTAGGTAATGTATTCAGATTACTTTTCAACTTGTTTATCAGAGATTTCTATTGTAAAACTTAATGACACTATGTATATATATATATATATATATATTTCGAACAGTAAGATTTTTAATGTGTTTTAAAGAAGTCTCTTCTGCTAACCAAGCCTGCATTAATTTTATCCAAAATACAGCAAAAGCAGTAATATTGTGAAATATTATTGCAATCTAAAGCAGCTGTTGTCTATGTGAATATCTGTTAAACTGTAATGTATTTCTGTGATGCGCAGCTGTATTTTCAGCATCATTACTCCAGTCTTCAGTGTCACATGATCTTCAGAAATCATTCTAATATGCTGATTTGCTGCTCGAGAAACATTTCTGATTATTATCAGTGTTGAAAACAGTTGATTACATTTTTTCCAGGATTCTTTGATGAATAGAAAGATCCAAAGATCAGCATTTATCTGGAATAAAAAGCTTTTGTTACATTATACACTCTACCATTCAAAAGCTTGGAGTCAGTGTGTGTATATATATATATATATATCACTAAAACTATATTCACTAAAACACATATTGCAAATAACAACCCTTGAATGTAATCGTGATATTTCATTATATTTGGGACCCTATACTACACATCTTTACACATGTACTAGATACATATTACCACTACACACCCTAAAAAATGCTGGGTTAAATACAACCCAGTGCTGGGTAAAATAGGGACAAACCCAGCTATTGGGTTGTTTTGACCCAGCGGTTGGGTTACTACCAGAAGGTTGGGTTAAACATTTAAACATTTAAACATTTAACCCACCCGCTGCGTCAAAACAACCCAATAGCTGGGTTTGTCCCTATTTTACCCAGCACTGGGTTGTATTTAACCCAGCATTTTTTAGGGTGCAGTGTACAGTGTTTATTTATTTATTTGAAAATAGATAAACATTTATTTAGAATCCTACGATTTAGAATCAATATTTGATATTTTACTTTCCAAAGTATCCAAACTTTTCTGAAAAACTAAATTATTTTTAATTGAATTAATCTCTTCCATTATTTTTGAATAAGTACATTTTAATCACTTAATGAATAAATAACTTAACTATTATTAAGATGTGCTTTGAAACCCTTTTAATCGCGAAAATACAAAATAAGAAACTTATGAAAACGATAAAAAAATCCAAAAGCTTTTCAAACTGATGTAAC